AAAAAAAAAAAAAAAAAAACATATTGACAGGGGCCTTCCGCACCTTCTCTAGGTACGACATCACTTTGGAGTCAATACCTTACAGTCAAACACAGTAAGGTCTAAGCACTTATTTTTCAAATGCATAGAACCAGCTCCTAAGCCCTTGTCATCAACAAGACCCAGAAGCTCCAGCTAAATGTTGCCATTATCTTTCTGGTTGAACTTTTCTGGGCTCCTCCCTCATTTTCTTTGTTTATCTCACTAATGCCTGTGGGGTGTGTGTGTGTGTGTGTGTGTGTGCATGCGCGTGAGCATGCTCACATGGGTGTGGAGTCCTCAGTTTTCATGACCCAAGCTTAAGCAAATGAGAAAAGCGCCTTAAGGCCTAACTAGGACGAATGTTCCTCTAATAAATATTGGTTTTGATATCATCTAAGCCCTGGGATACAGAATTTGAAATTTCCAAATGGCTGTTAGTCAGATCAATCAGGACGAAGCACATCAACGCCTTGGTGGAACTACACTGCTCAATTAGCATACACGGCATCTACCCGGGGCTTCTGGAATGCAGCTCACGTCACTCAGGACCCTGCGTGAGCACCACTGTAGTTAAGGATATGTCACAGCAAATCAACAAAATATGCAGTTTGATCAGCACATTCTGAGAGCAGATCATTAAAATATGCAACCAGATCCCCCAAGTGCATGAAAAATTAACTAACAAGTTTTGTATCTTGATCAGTTTAATGAGTGAGAATTCGCAGAACAAGAGTGTCAAATTGTACAGTCTAGCAAGGGGCAGACATTGTTTGAGACCAGCAGGGAGGGCCAGAGCTAAAACTTCTGGTTTTCAAAATGCCAGTCCTTAAGATTCACTGTCAGGGGAAGCTGATTAGAATTAAGATCCCGTCCAGCCTGCGTCCAGCAGGATGTGATGCGATGCGCAGCCTTCTGATGCAAATGAAACATTGATTCTGCTTTTCAGGCTTCACTAAGTCTTAATGGACTCAGCGATGTGCCTGGAAGGCCCTGCCAATAGCGTCATGAACACGTGTGGAGCTAAGAGGCGGTGGCAGCCTTCTGGAACTATCG